ACAATCACCCAAATAAACGCTAATCACCACTTCACATGCACAGCTACATGCTTGGACATGCCCTTCTGCGGTGCACATCCAGCACTGGCCTTGTGACAAAAGGATGAGCCCAAAGCTGGATCCGTATCGTCCGTGCAAACAGTGCGCTAATTAACCACGCCGTGACAAATCACACAGCTTTTCCCCAGTTCGCTGGGCGCAGCACCTTCCATAATCCGCCGCTATCACAGTCTGGAAGCGGGATAGTCAAACCTAATAATGCCATGACATTAGCAACACCGATGTACAAAAAAAGATAAGAGCGAGCCAGCAATAATTCTGCCCGTGTGTGTGTCCCAGACTTTTTTCCATCACCGCAACCGCATTTTGCCAAGGCGCAGAGGCTCAGGGTGGACAAGTGTGGAATGGTGCAATGTAAAGGATATCTAATCTAATCTAAAACTAGACATGAAGCACGTTTGGGTTGATACAGTATGTGAATGTAGACGCCACAGTAATAATGATTGAAACATTTGACCAGGCAGAGATTTGGACTTTGGCCCAAGCGATGCCGTATTCCAACCGTGCTTCACTCTAACGTCACCATTTTTACCTGCTTTATGCTGAGTGCATATATCTGCCACATTGATCGACGAGAACGTTTCCCCACTGTCCAAACAAGACTGATTTTAAATCATCTTGAAGCCCAAGAGTGCGAGCTTTTGCATTGAGGGCTGGCTGTCACCCTTGGGCTTCCCGCATTTTATTGATGCAGTTGAAAAGAGTTTTTTTTATGGAAGGCACGCTGCCGTGCAGCCCCGGTAATTGCTGGTCAGGGCACGTTCACCCGAGTTCATAAAGGTTCCTCTGTAAATATATTCAGGTTGCCCTGAATGTCACCTCAAATGAGAAAAGACCAAAAAAAAAAAAAAAGTGATGAGTGGGAAGATTTCGCAGAGGACAGTCAACTTGCATCCGGTTTTGTGGATCCGAAAAATATTCACATGGAATTTTATTTGATTTTTTTTTTAAAGTAAGCAGCAAAGGACATCCTTTGGTGTTATTGAATAAATCATAACAGGAGTGCGGTTGAGTAGGAGGATTCATTCAGTGTGAGTCATGTCGATGCAAAAGACATGACTCATTTTCTGTGTCCACTCAAGAGTGTGTCATCAATAAGGTTAAACCAGTCCAAGATTGATCGGCTCAATCTCCTTTACTGTTAAAGTTTAACCGAGAACAAACGTTATCGTCTCTACATGTGTTGTACATGGCTTTGTGCTGAAAGTTACAGTGTGTGTTTTTGGATTGTACCGTGAAAAGAGGAGGCTAAAACCTTTTTGTAGATTTTGTTGTGGCTGAGCAGTGACCCGGATCAGACAGTGACATCTTTGTGCTCTCTAGTGGGTGGCAAGTGGCAAGATGATGTTCTTTTGTTCCTGCAGCATGGTGACACCAAACCATGGTAACATTTATTTCAACGCATATTGGTCTGCTCTGAAAGACCAGTGGGGAATTTCCTCACCTCTCAACTCAACTGTACTTCTAGAGCACTTTAAAACTACCACGGCTGCATATAAAGTACACAAGATATTTGTGTCAGCCACAAAAACCATGACTTTCAGTGCCACATTTATGTATAACATGAAAGGATTAGGGCCCTGCAGTGACCCCTGTGGGACACCACCGGTCACATTCCATTTCATTTCCAATGCCATTCATGAGATTATCTTCAATTGGCGCACACAAATCCAAAGAAAACGTCCAAACCGGTCATTTCCGAGGCATCATTATGCGTTTACTGCAAATATATTTGTGAGGACAGCTCGAAAGATCATAGTGCATCCAAGGGACTGTTAAACATGACAGATCAGATCCCAGTGGTGCCGTGTAAACACAACTAAAGAGACGCCCGGTCAGGGTGCAGCGACGTGGCCCATTGCCTTTAACCTCTGCGCGTTCTGTTGCTCTCGCGGGAATAAGGTGTGCGGTAACACATGGCTAGACACGCTTACACAGGCACATTGCGATCCAAGCGGCATCCCTCCGGGGAGGTCGTTTGCCCGTTAGACTAAACATGGTCGAGTAAACTGCCGCTGCTGCTGTTTCTTAACAAAACACAAATGATCAACGGTAATTAATGAGAGATGCTAATCGGGAATTCAACGCCGAACCATCCGCTGTGGCCTAAACGGCCTCGCCTCGAGAAACAAGGCGAAGCAACTTTGTAAAGTTGATGGAATGCACAGGAGGCCTTTGACTCATGTTGCTAACCTTGATCTCGAGCCAACGCTTCGCTTCGGTACATCACCTTGCAGGTTTTAGTATGAGCAATGAGGCACAGGGAGGATGGATTAAAGTGTTGGAGGTCTAAGATGAGCCAATCTGCAACAAGGCACAAGGTTTTGGAGATAACATTGTTGATTGATGACACGTTGCAGATTGAGTCTTCAAGCAAGAGCTGCTGCTTATAAATCTTTACTCAGACACAAAAGCTCGGAGGGGCATTGGTTGGCAGACCGGTGACGGCAGTTATCGATCCGTGGCTCCAAGGCAGACCGATCGGCTTAAGTCGAACAGCAGCAAAATCATTCCAAAAAAAGTGAAACCAAGGTTTTGTATTTACGATGAATATTAGACCGATTAAATCGAAGCTCAACCGTATCGGTCCACATGCGTCTACTTTGAAGGTTATTGGATCAACGTTGGCAGTGGATGAAACATTTGACTTTCAAACACCTGCGCAAGGTCTAAAGTCATCTATTCAGCGAGTACGTAAGTCAGTTGAGGTAGACGAGGAAAAAGATAATTGTATGATAACGTGGAACAGAAAGGGATTCGGATGCGGCGAGATGAGATCTTTGACAGCTCGTGTGTGGCTCTAACGCGGCACAATCTGGAGGTGGTTTGACGCAACGATCCTTGACATTCCGCGACATTATCTGTCACATCAACTTTTTATCCATCCATCCATTTTAATCGGCTTATCCTCACGAGGGTCGCAGGCGTGCTGGAGCCGATCCCAGCTGTCTTGGGGCGGTAGGCGGGGGACACCCTGAACCGGTTGCCAATCGCAGATCAACGTTTTACCTTTTTAAAAAATCTTTATGTCGCGTTTCCCTGTTGAAAGAAACGCAGTTGGAAGCATGCAGCCGGGGAACCTGACACCGTGGATGATTTGGTCCATAAAATAGATTTCATTTTTTTGATACATACAAAAAATACATGTTCAAAGAGCAGGATATCACACCCATGATGGCTAGAAATAGAAAAATGAATGCAGTCAGCAAAACATTCTCACTATTAGTTCCCTTTCTTGAATGGTTTGTTTGCATTTATGAGAGCGTCACTTAGCGTAAATGACTATAGACTATGGAATGAAAGTGTATCGACTTTCATTAGACAATCAGACAAAACGATCTGCTCACATGTTTTACAACTCGCACGTAGCAAAGCGGGTCGCAGGAGTGGGCGTAATGCCACGGTCGAGCCCGAGAAGACGTGACCGGACTTGTGACGCTGCAGTGAATTACCGGCAAAGCTCTGAAGCAAAGTGCTCCCAATCCTGCCAGTCGGCGTTATGAGAAACAGGTCACAGCGTAACAAACGTTAACCCGGAGAGCGCACGGCCCAATTCACGACCACAGAGAAGCCTCCGTTTAGTGACATCTGTCGACAAAGTATTCGCCCTCTGCTGCGCCAATACTTATTGAAATGCATTCAAGGACTTTCTTGATAATTGCACACCCAAAGTGGTACTCCAATTACTGCTGCTGGTCACTTAAAAAAATGGCGCAACGATTATCCGCACCAACCGCACAACCGTCATCGTATTGCATCGCACCGCTGATCACTTGATCTCTGCTCGATGACTCTGCACATTGTCGCACGGGGTGCTATTAGTCCACAATGGTACCCTGACATATCGGAACCTCTTTCGATATTTGGATGTCACGACATTGTTGATCGTAGTTGCTTGTTATCGTAATAATAGTGTAGCCTATACTACCGGAGACAAATTCCCTGTGTGTTCTACACAAAGATGACGTGATTGTGAAATGTCAAACAAGACCGCCCTAATGGGCTGTAACGAATCCCCTTGTTCTATTGTTGTGAGCAGCAGAAGTAGATTTGAAGACATCAAACGCTGTACAGTCTGTCAGATCAACGCGGCGCTGCGTTGAGTGTTTGATCACATTTGACAGAGTTGAATGAACTTCTTGCGCGAAGCACCTTTGCGCCACGTACTCATTTTCTTCTGTACTTGAACCTCCCTTTTAAGCATTTCCGACCTCAGCCGCGCATACGTTGTTCTATTCGCATCATCACGAGAAATCGCGCCGGCATGTCGTCGTATTTCTCGGCCACGTCGTTTTGTAAGACGTGGAGTCTCGACTTCAGAAACGAGCCCTTGATTTGCTATTTACAGGGCGACGTTCAAAGTGTCTTTCAAATGGAGCGGTCCCCTTTTGTTGGATCCTGCCGAGTCCCGTGAAAATATACTGTACGCCGTGCATGGATTTCTGGGCGCATCCATACGAAACTCTCCGGTCCGTCCGCATGCTTATGTTTGTGTGTCGGGCTCACTCAGGACTTCCTGCGCTGACAGAGTTGTCATCGCAAGCGGGAGCTGCCACAGATGGCGAGAGGACTACGCTGACATCATGATGTCCTTCGTCGTGAGAGCTGAGCATGTGAGTTGGAGACTGACTAATTGAAAGGATAACCGTGTGCGTGCGTGTGTGTGTGTGTGTGTGTGTGTGTGTGTGAGAGTGAGACATAGATTTTAAAATATGAAGTCACATGTAACATGCTCAGGGGGCAAAACTGAGAATGCCATCTGCAATGTGTTTTTTGTTTTTTGTTGTTGTTGCTGATCATTTACAGCATCGCCCACGTCATGGATTATTGGCAACAAATGGCTCCATTCCACTCAATGGACAGCATTTCAGCCCCGCCTACTTGAAAATCGCAAGGCATCCCGCGGCTCAGGAGCTTTGTACAAAACGCTGACGACTCACCACTGCGACGAGCCCTCGGTGCCGCTGACCTCCAGCACGTCGTAGTCATCCTCCAGATGAAAGTCGGAGAAGACCAGGGCGATGGTGTCTCCTGGCTCGGCCAGGACGGTCCACGTGCAGTCAGCATTATTGTTGTACTCAGCAGGGTAATTGGGAGTGGTGATGACTCCGCTCTGGCCTCGAAGTGTCCCGCCACACCCGTCGTCCGCTGCAGGGGGGTGCAGGAGAGGAACAATTGTTTCCGAAATAAGCTTTAATTTGGTCAATATAAATAAATTGACTGTTGGATACATTGAAAACAAACAACTGACCTAAAAAGCAATTGGTCTTTATAAGTAAAATGCCTCCATGATCGTTGTGATTTTTTTTTTTTTTTTTTTTTTTGCATTTTAAAAAAAAGAAAATACTTCTCAAGTCAGGAATTGTACACACAATCTCAGATGAGACGAGCTCAGCATTGCGGTTCAAGATCTTCCTTGATATTTGTTTTCCCCCTTGCCTGCTGGGAAAGGATCCGAATGGAAGACAAAGACGCACCGTGCGCATGTTGCTCCTTCAACCTCAATGATGTAGGCCAGAGAAGAGTAAATTGATTTGAAAACGTGCAAGTGGGGCTTGAGTGCTTGGTGCAACGTGATGCAACATGGGGAGGCATAATTACACCCTGATTAATTCATATTTATGTTCATCAAAATCTCTCTCGTCACTGTGAGTCTACTTTAAAGAGACGATCGGATACTAAAGAATGCGCGGATTAGTCTCCTGGTTAGCTATTGATATGTTCATCACTTCCTGCAACACGGAACTTAACGATTTCCGTGTGAGAATAATGATACACGGTGCGCACGGTACAAAATGTAGTACTTGCGAATATGACACTCCCCCACTGCTTTAAATTGTGTGCCTTTGTCACAGTCTAGTGTGGCACTCGTCCCTGGGTGGCCAACTCGGTCTGTCCGTCATCCATCCTACTTGTCACAACGGCAACTCCCTCGAGGGAGGGCAAGAGAGTGTACAGACAAGCGGAAACCTGTGAGGTGTGAACTTAAAATAGGAGGGAAATCAAGGCAGAAGGGCACCGAGAAGGAGAAGACGGGTGACGGAGAGAGAAGTGAATGCTTGGGGGATGAAGAACGGAGGATATGGTGGGAAGGGTGATGGCTGATCGTTGCAGTGGGAGTGACAGTGGATGAGAGAGAGAGAGAGAGAGAGAGAGAGAGAGAGCGCACATTGAAATTCCGCACAAGCTAGCTTCTCCACACTTGAAGGGCAGTATCGGGCTCCAAAATTCACCTCTGTATTCTTTGCTTCGTTCTGCCACGAGCACATGCGGAATGTGGAGATACTAAAAAGAGACACGTGAGCCTCATGATACCCGGGGACCGTTGTACAGTCCAAGATCTACTATCTAGGCCAGAATGCTTCCTTCCTATGGTTGCGTATTCTGAAGCAGTCAGGAAAGATTTCACGGTTTCTCACGAGGATGTGGAGGCATTACACTGCAGTGATTTCACTGGTTCGGACTGTGGCACACATCCGAGTTGGCGGCCATTTTAGTGGAAATGGTGACAACGGACTACCGTTGTCGCGTACAGGTTCGTTATATCTCTGGTTGTAACATTGTAACGAGGCTCGGCTGTCCCATCAATATCTGCAAAGAGAAAGCTTGCACAGTCGGAATTAAGATCAAGAGCAGTGCTGACTTTTCTCTTCACCTGGTAACCATGGGCATCCTGTTGTAACTCATTTCATGCAGTTTTTTTCTTCAAAGCTTGGAACTGTTCCATTTTAGTTTTTATGTACATATATATGCATTTGTTTAACTTTTATGTATTTTTTGAAGAAAATGTGTATCTTAAAGCTACAAAACCATATTTTTTGAAGACAAAAACTGCTGTCAGTTTTGGAGTCCACACTCGAAAATGTAGTAGAAACAGCCAGACTGAACGTAACCAAAAGTGCATTCCCCAATGTAAATGCATTTTTAACACTTCAGTCATTTAACACCTCCTGAAATTGAACAGCCACCTCTCTCTCATAAAGTCTGTGATGAGTGTTATGTGACAAATGGACACCAAGTCAAAGCTACGAAACGCGAGTCATTCAATGCCACCAATAGCTTACCCTCAATTATAGGTCAGCTGTCCGAATTGGGCAAGAAGCATTTGGCAGCCGCCACAAAGAGCAGATTGCGAGTTCTGCACCAACATAAGTGGGCAGCCACTCCATGTAACTGGAGTGTCATTAAAAATTCTCTTCCGCGTTTGTGAAGACGCCCGCAGGCGTACATGTTGAATTTCATGTGCTACTGGGAAACTGGAATTAATCACCAGGGATATTGCCAGCCTCAACAACTTGTATGTAATTTTGGCTGAGTAGCTGACAGAATCACATCCTTGAGTGCCCGAGGAGTCTCTGTGAGCATTGTTGAGGAAAATGAAATCGCAGATTTGGGTTCTAAATGGCAGGCTGGTGGTGAATAATAAAGAAGAGACACACACACACACACACACACACACACACACACACACACACACACACACACACACAAAAAAGAATGCATTTTGAAGTAAATTAAATTCATGACGACGAATGGTCATTAAAACACATGCATGCTAATTTGGCGGTGTCCAGGCATGTAGCTGCACGTACTGCCATGTGTGCTCGCTCATGTGTGGACTTCCTGACTCCTGGCTTGGGTGCAGATGGCTCACGGTCTCATCTCAAGGCGACACGAGTCACATATTGAGGTGCAGCAAATGTGCATGCCCAATGCACATAACATGGAAACGTGCACACGTGCAGCATGTCAGCCTTACACACGAAGAAGTACGGTTTAATCACCTGTAGTGATGTCAAAAAAGAAAACGGATGACTGTCAGCTTGGCTCACACAGTCTAAACTGGCAGGTGCTTGCTGCAGGGGTACCGTCTGACTGCGGGGGTGGGGGTGGGGGCAACTGGCATGTTCGCCTGGCTGGTAGCTAACATATGAGGTGCTGTCATGCTAAATAAGACATCGGTATATGCACAGCAGCGAAGCTGAAAGCTAACTGGTGGATGTTTTTTCAAGAGGAGAATAGAACCGCAATAAGTACGACTGTGTTCATGAGAGCAGTTACATTTATTTTATTTTACTTTGTAACACAGGCATATCAGAATCCCGTATGTCTGTTTTTCATGAATGACAATACTGCAATTCGAGTAAAATATAAGACTGCCATGTGACGTACCTCTGCAGTAGGGCAGGGGGAAATCCCATGCGGCGGTCCCCGCTGAAGTGGCAAGACAAGACAAGGTTGTGTGGCCCTCCAACACATGACCCGGGTTGCAGCTGTAGCGGATTTTGTCTCCGATGTTGAACGTGGTCCCTTGCTGGTGACCGTTGAGAAGCAGCCCAGGATTACCGCAAGTGTAGCTGGGCAAAGCTGGGAGAGACAGAAGAGCCGATTTAGTGAAGCACTGAAAACATGGTGAGATACGTGATCTACAAAAAAAAACCATAAATTACAAATTAACCTAACTCCATCATTCATGAATGACAGATTGCCTCTATTCTCATTCGTCTCTAGTCGTCTCATTTTTGACCTTATGCGCTTTCATACAAATTCAGTTGTAGAAAGTTTTCCTGGACTTGTTTTGGCTTCAGATGTTGTATTTAAAAAAAAATAAAAATAATAACAACAACAGACTGCAGCTTTCTAAGCACCATTCTGTGGGTAAATAATAGCAAAATGGCGATGCCTACGGTAAACAGGCTATTTTCGTGGGAAGATAGTGCCTTAGCTTGCCGAGTCTTGAACAAAAGGAACAATAGGCCGTTGGGGTGTGTGGATAAATCACTGCGCGCATAAGCATGCATTGTGACTTTCCGCTATAAGTCCTGTGCAGTTCCACACGACGTCAGCGAGCTGGCCAGAGCATGTGCTGGACTTTGGATGTAACTCAGTGTCTCCGCGGGGACTTGGTGGAGGACAGAATGGCTTTCATGCCGCTACATTGTTCACTGGCGTCTCTCCATCACCATATTCGCTTCACTTCCATTTCAAATGCATTCACTTGTATCCTGACGCAGATGACACAAAAACCGAAGAGCTCCTTATGGAAAGCGAGCGGATGTGTAGCTGAAAGAAAATGGGAAATCAGTCAGAGACACTGCACAAATATTGGCCAGAACTCATTACAGGCACCGGAATTGCCCCGACGAAGAAACACTCCACTTGTGCATTCAACAAAAGACAGGAGATAGACCAAGACACCCTCGGCCACTGTTCAATGATCGACTTTGTATGTCATTTCATACTTCAAGCAACATAAGCAGCATCTTGCTTGAATATATCCAAAAGGATCCAGCATCGTACAGTTTGAGACTGTAAACTTTCGTGAAAAGCCCCGTCCCAAAACTCCTCCCTCCTTTAGGGTTGGGCGATCACGGCGGCACAATAATTCACCAGCATGGGAGAACCGTGACGTGGCTCGTCGCGGGGGGTCAAGACGCTTGCCGCGCTTCCTCTTGCTGAGACGGCAAAGGATGCCCGCCGTCCATCAACGCATCGCTGTCCACAGAGCACCAAGCGGCCATGCAAAGGTGATCGAGTGCCCGCAAACCTGTACGAACACACACGCGTCGACTCACGCGAAAGCCGTGCGCACGCCAAAGAAGCGGGCCATCCATCACACCCTCCGCACTTCTTTATCTCCTGTCCTTGCCATTTTTCCTTCCTATTTCCGGTGACTCGACGAGCATGAAAGTGGTCTCAAAGGACGACCTCTGGACTTCAGAAGAATGATGGCGTCTCTCTGGGCGTCTGGGAAAGGCGACCCTATATGGTGTCATTCTCTCCGTTCCGGTTTATGTCATAGCAATATGTCTTTCAACTCAATGTTCTCTGCAAAACTTTTACATGAGTAAAACATGTTTTAAACATGTAACGGATTACACTGACACACCGTCAGTTTTTTTTCCGTAATTTCGGACTGTAAGGCACACCTAGAATTCTTTAAATTGTCTCAGAAATCAAGAGCGCGCCTTGCAATCCGGTGTGCTTTATGTATGAATCCTGGTTGCGTGTACTGACACCAAACTCAATAAAACGGCGGACCGCAGTGTCGGGTGAGATGTAAAGATTACGCAGAGATGATATTTGTACAAGGAAATTATGTCCAATGCAATATGCTACGGCTAATAGTGAAGCAAGGGGAGCCTCAAGCAAATCCACAATCATCACGCCATCTGTGTAGCATGGATTCAGGTATTAAAAAAAAAAACAAAAAACGGAGACCTCATCTTATTTGCCGGCTGTTCAACAATATAAATTGACTTCATCTGTGCTGTGCAGAAAGATAAGAAAAAAGATTTTGCAGATTAGAGCTCCCAAAAAAAATAAAATATGATCGGAAGTAGCGACCAAGAAATGCACCACATCACATTGTTAGACAGTCCGATCAATTATACCTGCACTCAAATAAAGCAGGCAGGCAAACACTGACGGATAATAACGAACGTGTTGAAAAGAAATCCGCATGACGTCTGTCTTTGTTTTCCTTATTTTGCCCCGCTTTGCCCCTCCCTCCGCCAGGCTTCTCTCCCCGGCTCGCCAGGTTGCCTTGGAAACAGTCGCGGCACACCAGAGAGGAATATGCGAACAGGAAGTGCCAGACCGTGAACGTGCCGAGGCAAATGAAGATGCACCGCTTTGCTCGGGATGCTGTCAACCTGGAACCTCTCGAAAACGGGCCACGTTGGAATGCACTCCACAAATGCAATCGTGATTCAAAGCCTTTCGTATGTTTCATCTCTCTCGGGCGACAAGGGAACAACGCAATGCAAGCCATCTCCCTTCCAGTGATGCAGAAAGATCCGATTGTCTTTGTCACATTGACCAAAACAGGAGTGTCAATGGACATTTTATTAACTGTCTCCTTAATTAAGTTAAAAGCAGCACTGGCTCGAGGTAGAAGAGGCACGCTGGAACGGCTCATCAATGCCTTCACTCAACCTTGTCCACCCCACTAAAATCTCCACCTTCTTGCTTCCCTCCCCGGTGGAGCTTAGGAGAGTGAAATTCTGGGTCCGGTCTGTGTGCTTAAATCTTGTTGATTTGTGCTGGCATTTGTTCTGACGGGGTCGGGGGGGCGTTACGGCAAATTATGGAGGTTTTGAAAGCGTGGCTGTGCTACATTTATATTGGATCTCGAATCGGTAATAACGGCTGCAATGTGTTGTCCTTTATGAACATGTGAGTGCCATGCCGAGTATAAAGTCAAGATGAGCCGTCAAGAGATTTATTTCACATTTGTTTTATGTACGCGGGTTTGCTGAAAGAATACCGAGTCGCCTTGTGTATGCGTCGACTTCACATATTTAGGGTGTGGTGTCAGATACAAGAGTGGCGACATGGGGGAAACCATTTGAACTGCAAGATTTTTTTTTTCTAATTCCTGATGAGCACAGTCCTTTCTCCCACAATTCTTCAGCCCCCACTGGTTCTGAATGATTCATAGTTCATAACCTGCCAAGAAGACGAGCAATTGGCTGACGATGTATTAGAACCGCGGTGCTCGGTTTCGACCTTCCTGCAGCTGGCAATAGCAACCATATTATTCCCAACCACCTTGAATTCATTTGCAGTGTGTTCAACGGTGTCACGCATGATGCTCAATGATTATATTGCAGTTAAAAGGAGAGAGTGAAGAAAGGCACACGTGACTCGTGCTTTGTGGTATTCGAGCTTTCTCCATTTCGAATGCATTACCGTCGGGGTACAATTGCCTTTCCTCCCTTTTAGCGATGGCATCTGACCAGCTCTGGCCTTCCTTAATGTGCACCATGTAATGATTTTAATCTGTCCCAAAAATAAAGCTGCGGCTGTCGAGAGGGGTCATTTGCTGGCATTACATTTTTTTTTTTTTCCTCCTCGGAAATGTGGTGCCAGCTCTACGATACAGCCTCGGAGAGTCATCGGTGCACATCTACTTGAATACACAGCGTCCACGTTCTGCACTGGGGGCTGACTTAGATCTCTTTAGGTGCACGCCACGCTTATGGACTTCAATCGGCAGAATATGTATCCTGTAACTGTTGTGAAAAGCCCCAAAGAAAATTCCCTTGACCTTATGACTGACCTCTGATATTTAGCTGGCTAACAAGTCTGGAGTCAATAAGGTCTTGAAGGGACCGGAGCGATGCTTGATCGATAACTCTTTGCTGATGAACGACTACACATTAGAGAAGAGCTCGTATGCGGGATAAATGATTAAAGACCGCAGCCAAGTAGGAGCTCGGGGTGGTTGATATCAATTATAGCTGGAGTGAAAATGCACCCGTTCCTGTTCATAACCATCTGGGTATTTAATCACAAAAGATAACACGGCTGGAATCCTAATTGGATTTATTGTGCAGCTGCATAATTATAAACAGGGGGTTTACCAAAGTCGCCGACGTTGCTGTCTCCCAATATACTTTCTGGGTCTGCATTCCAATCGGTCTAAGTGAGGAAGTGACAACCCGCTACACGATCGGGAACCAAACCAAACGTGACGGTCAGACGGATCTTGTCGTAGGTCATCATTTGTTCTGTCGCCATGTTTCAGTCCGTGCTATTTGGGACGCCGTATCCAAAAGGACGCACGCAAAAAACAATGTTTGCTTTATGGAAACCGAAGAATAGGACATACCGACATTTTCTTAACAAAGCCAGCATAACTGCTATGGAGCACGACAAAGACGCACCGGTTCATCACCCAAATCGTCAATCTGGGTTTTGCAGACGCCCGTCAGCATACCATGACAGTTGATTGACACTGTCAGTGAGGTATTCATTCAACAATGGCTTTGGTTTGCAGTGCTTTATAATGCCACCCTGACTCCGAGGCATTTCTAATATAAACCCAACAAACTGGTGGGTGAATGTCTCTTCGGTGAGAAATTCCTGCCTCATCCCAGCCTGAAACAATGACAATCTAATCTGGAGACAATACAGCCACTAATCCATACAAAACAGGGATTGTGCAGAGAGAAACACGTGGGAGAAAAGGGCTAGTGTACTAACGAGCAAAGGCGGCTAATCTCGGGGGAGGGGGGGGGGGCCGAAGGAGAAAGAATGAAATTACTTTTAGGACGACACAAAAAGTGGCATCGTGAGTGAGCATAAAGAGTCAAAGAAATGGTTTCGGGACAGACAGGATATTTGTTGACAAGAAAATGAGCACCATATTGCCTGACAATAAGGATTATAAAACTACATGTCAAGAGACTGGCTGAAAAAGAAAAGTGTGACTTTTAAAACATGTTACAATTCATTCATTTTGTATGTAAAGTGTCCTTGAGTGTCGTGAAAGGCGATTTATTTTTTTGTTTTTTTGTTCCCGCCCAAAAACAGAGGTAAGAAACAGCTATGTGAGGTAACGAGATCATTTTGAGCAATTTTGGGTGAGAGATGAACAAGTAAAAAAACTAACAAAAATGCACGACTGGCTGCAGAGGACGGTGAGCTTTTTTTTTGGTTTTCTGTTTGTAGTTTCAGTACCCAAAATATATCTTTTTTTTTAAACATGAATTTTCCATAAGCCTCTGTCATCATAAAAGTTTGAACCATCGGAAAGTGAGCCTACTTCATCATGCTATCCCACGCAGCCCACTGCTCATTTTTCATCGTACTGTAAAGACGCAAGTCAGCCTTCAAACTACTGTATAAGTCATCAAAACAACAATTCCAAAGAGGCGGCGGTTTCTCAAATCATCGTGGCCGATGGCAGGATGTTGAATGGATGGGGGAAATAGAGGTTGGGGGGCCCGGTGGGGGTACTGTAATTACATCAAAGCCTACAATCCTGAGGGTTGGGAAGCTGACATTTACAAGAAGTCAAGCGGGATTTCTAATTACACACTCAGGTAAAGTTGCGGATTTTGGACTGTGCGCTGGTGCCAAAGAAAACAACTGATAAATAAATGCACGCGCAAACTTTTGGAAGTGTCAAGACCGAGTATGTTTATATATATATATATATATATATATATATATATATATATGTGTGTGTGTGTGTGTGTGTGTGTGGCAGAGAGATGAACAAGTAAAAAAACTAACAAAAATGCACGACTGGCTGCAGAGGACGGTGAGCACTGTGCAGGAATAATGATGCATGAACTGTGCCGCTGGGCTTCAAACCTGCTCTTCGCTCTTGCTCGCAAGTGTGAGTCACCCTCGTCTACCTTTCGGTAAGCCTTTCACACCTCCGTTATTTTAACTACGATTCGCCCTTCCTTCCCATTACGCTTTATGCACACCAGTTGAGGCCCAGCCACTACCGCGACCTGCACGCAGGGTCGGCGCTCTCAAAGTGCAGTCGTTATGAGAACAGTAGGTGGCACGGAGAGGGGATGCGAAAATAAAGATTGGCATTAAGGAAACCTCACTTTGGTCGATTGTCTGGAAAGGAAAGCCGATTTACCTCGCGGCTTCCACGCATGCATCGTGCTGGACCAACGCAATCTCCTCGGTTGCCAATGACACACTTCAAGCTCAAACGCTCGGCAGCGGCAATAACCGGCAACGTGTTCAGCAGAAACTCACACAGCCACTCGCTCTCGCATTTCCTTGAATCGTATGAATAAAACAGGAGGTGTTTGGAACAGTTCCTCCGTGAGCTTGAATCCTATTCAATCTATCAAGTCACAGGTACAAACAAGTTTACATCCCTGACGTGGATGCGGTTTCATGCATTCGGCCCCTCCGGCGCTGGCAAACTCATCCAGTCACAGGTTCACATGGATGACCTTTTTGTCTACGTGCCTTTGTGTTTTTCAATCCAAGACATCAAGCAGTCACTTTATTTGAACGCGTGCTCTTGAGCCTCGGCAACAATTCGTCTCGAGCTTCCTGTCCACCCACCCGGAAAACAAACAAAAAGCCCAGAATGAAGCGTAAAAAGAGTTAGAAAAAAAATAAATTAAAATTAAGATAATAATAAAAACCGCCGGTTCAAATATTGAAGCATCCTTTTCCACCACACCATTTCAGTTTGAAGCCACATCATCATCGCTTGATTACACCGGAAGCATGTCAGAGGATGAAGCGGCCGGCTTCAAAACGTACGCCATCTCTTGGACTCACTTTTGGCTTCATCCGCCATGCGGACCCGGAATGTTTGCATAAATGCCTGCAAGTGACAAATTCGAGTGAGCGTTAATAGCCGCCAGGATAAATTGAGACTATCTCTCCTCCACAGGAAGTATTGCTTCGAATGACAACAACAGTTCGGAACAAACACGCGTGTGCATTTGTTACGGAGAATAAAAGGGCAAACGGCCGCTGGGCCCTGACTGAACCTTTTGCGATGAATCTCTGAATATCACTACGAAACATCACGATTCAAATCATGCCTCGTTTGCACCATGCGATGCTTCAATGTTCCTGGTCCATAAGTCAGAAGAAAAAAAAAAAAAAAACAAAAACATGTAAAAACATGAAATTACTTCATTATACAGTAGAGTGCCTCCGTCGGGCAGCAACATTTGTTTATTCATGCAATTTCCTCTTTGGCTGACCCAGTTGGGAGACGCGTTGTCTGCGCAGCTGACGAAAGACAAAGTCTGCGCCGCACAACTGGATCATCATCCCGTTACTTCGGGGAGAGCTGTTCAGGAAAGAGTAATCCGGTATCGGCGGAGAGAGGGGACCGAGAAGGGAAAATAACAAAGCGAGTAGACCGCAAAAAAATTCTGTCCGCTCTCCTTTTTCTCTTGAGCTACTGAGTAAACATGAGTAGATAGATTGGAAATAGGTGGGAGATGACAAGGAAGCGGAGTCTGAAGGTTGTCATGGTAACGGGAGATTCTCCACTGGTCTCAGCCATTATCAACATTTTTTTTTTGAAGGGGGGGTGGGGGGGTGTAGTTTACCAGGTAGCATTTTGGCTTATTTGATGATCTGGTGGCACGAATGCTCAAATAAGGTCAATGAGCTGTCGTCGTACAGCCTGTACTAATGATAAACTCGCTTGGAGAAAAGTAACTGAACTGAATTATAGATAATGCCCACCGACACTAATCAGCCATGCTATACTTTATAATTATGCAAATATCACATCTCCCTCAAGTAAATGTTACATTCATGCCATATGTGCAGCAGTTGGCTCGAGCTCCAGCGGGAGTGTAGGAGGAGAAAAGAACTTCGCCGAGTGGCGACTCTATGCAACCCCATTAGGAACCGGCAGGAAGACTTTGGAGTTCAATTCTAAACGTTGCTCATGATGACTATTGAGTAAACAATGATTTATTCAAAGTGGCCAACAATACCTGCAGGACCTTCTTGTTTTTTTTTTTCTTTTTTTTTTTTAAATCTGCATTTGTACACAAAGTCATTAAGAAGTGCAGGACATGGACAACAAATGTAAAAGTCATCCCACTCATTTTGCTTTACTTCAATCACCTTAAATGGGCCGCACCGCTTTCTGCTTAATCGGTCCATTCTCTTAAATTCCGTTAGGACTCAATATTATCATGAGGATATTTTATTTCGGTGTCCAAATCCATCAAAGAATGCAAATGCCCAAAAAAAAAAAAAAAAAAAAAAATTATGCACGCAATCAAAGAAGAAATCTGACAGGCTGTTTCATATAACCAAGTCCATGATATATTCTTGCTTGTCAGAATAAATCATCTACTTAAGAAGGATTTCGAACTAATAAGGAAATGAAAGGATTTGATGATATAGATGGATGAGTGATAGATTATCCGCTGAAGAAAAATGACACCAAAATTCATTTGCAATTTAACGTTATAACGTAGAAAGGGTTCTGTCAGTCGTCATCTGTACCTGTGGGTAAAAAACAAAAAAACAAAAACGGACGTTTCGCTTCTCTCCTTTTTTGTTTTTTACCCACAGGTACAGATGATGACTGACAGAACCCTTTCTACGATGGAACTTTCCTGTACGACTGAGAGCCTCCACAAGCGAATTAACGTTATAACCTGACTCAATCTCGACTTGACTTTTGCTTGCTGCCTTTTCTTTTTCCGAAAAGTCTCCCTCTTGCCATTGTCTCATGCTACGTGCACGCCAAATCCGGTGGGATGGATGGGATTTACACTTCATGTCCAATGTTACGCTTCTGTCTCATGAAGCGTCCCCATCACGCGCACCGAATCAAATTTGACGTCATCGACGACAACAACATGGACATCAAAACTGTCATCTTAGCCTGGGCCGAGTCATCCAACAGCAACGATATGCATAAGGTTCAAGTATCGTCACCCCTTTGATGAAAGCATGGCTATTCCGTTTGTCTTTCAACAAAACAAGAAATAAGTTGCACCCCTGTGGACGGAGTCAACATTTTCTTTCGCTCCTCCGTTTCACTTTGCCACACGCGGTGGTCTTCAAGCCTCCCCCGGGGACTTGACGCTGCTCCATTGAGCCACATCCCGATAGTCGCGGAAGCTCGAAACGACTGACAGTCCCTCTGTCGGGTAATTAGCCTCATTAGTCGACCGACTCATCTTCCCCTCCCCTCCCCGGGTTGACCGTACCTCCCGCGCAGGCCCGAGGAATGCGGTCATTAATATCATTAGAGCACGGCTCATAAAAGAATCCTATGTCACCGTGATGAAGCCTCACGGTTTGCGCCGTGAGGAAAGTGATAATAACCTAAACCACCTAAATAAATCCGCTGGTTTTCAATAAAGCCACGCGACCACGCGCTAATCAGTCATGGCTGAAGCTTTCCTCCGTCACGCAGGTCTTCGTCCAAAGACGCTGGAACGAAGGACATCTCACCGTGATGTTTTCCCGAACAAGCCATCTGCAGATAACGCGAGTCTTTTCCCCGCCCTTGGGGAGCGTTCTTTTCTCCCTTTTAGTAACATCTCTTTAAAGCGGTCACCGGGATGATAGATAGCGTCGTTTTCTCTTCTAATGGGAAACAATGAAGGAATGTTACCTTCATAGGATGCTTTAAATCCCTGGCCGCTCACCGCGTAGTCGGATAGCAGCCACAATGTGAGCCTGGAGCCTGTGCTTACGATGGGCGATGGCAGCTGGAACCCGGTTAACCTGAAAACAAACAAACAAACGGGGGGACAATAACAATCAGACACTTTGAATCAACAACAGACTTGGCTGCAAGGTCACAAATTTGGCCAGCTGCTTCATGACACATTCAGGGCTAACTTTTTTTTTTTTTTTTTTACCCCCGTGTGTCTGTGTTTAATGAGGTCGTGAATCATCCAGAGGCAATTTGAAATGACAACTCCTCAAGACGGAGAAGCTCGATAGATTCTTTTTCCCTCAGCGCAGACTGAGGGACTGCAATCATGCGGCGAATCAGACACCGTGTAAGAATGAGCAAACAGTTGAGTAGACAAACATAAAACTGTCAGGCCCCGAGTCAACAAACATCTCTAATAACCACCGAGAACGCTTTCGATGTGGGAGTAAGCTGGAACAGAAAATATGTTTGCTATTTCGGGAGAGAAGCAGAGCACACGCACTGTAACTGTAAGTCCGTCGGCCAGTTCTGGCACTTCTCCAACCGCAACATGATTGGGAAATAAAATATGCATGTGACGAAGGGGGACTTTCCCCCCACGATTGCAGTGCGAGACCAGCCACATGCTTTAAATATCGAGCTGAGCAGGGGGGAACGTTGACAATCGACACTAATTCCGACATAGGTAAGGACACATATTTGTTCTTTGACCAACTTGTTTTTACTCGGGGCCGACTTCACTTTTGCATTTGCGTGCGGCATAGCAGCTCATTGCCGCTTCACCATGTTTGCTTCGAACTTTGAGCTTAACGAATTGGCCCAAGTCTGTAGACCTCGGAGCCCGACTGGGCTTGTATTCAGTCAGCATTTCCTGAATGTATTCAGGACCCGAATCATTCCGTGATTTCTATTAATATCTACCCAACAGCTGACTTGGAGCCAGTGTAAAGACTTTAGGAAAACGAGAGAAGCAGAAGCAGATTACTGTAATAAGTGTTATGACATCTCAAGTGGATAAAGTCAAACTAAACCGTGGCTGCTGTAACAACAATAGATGCGTAATATGTTCTATGTTTGTTTTGCTTGAGTGCCTAGAATAAATATATGACATTTATGCGTCCTTTATGACTTCTTGGGCTTTGACTGAATTGCACCTTGCTTTGTTGTGCTTAAAGGTCCACTGTGTGTCATTTAAGGAAGCAGAAATTGAATATTATATTTCAATAATTGGTTTTAATTAGTGTGCACTGCCCCGGAAAAGGCAATCGGTGTGTTTTCACTGAGCCTGTTCCCTTTATAGCAACTTCGAGAACAGATCCTCTGCTGTTTAAGACTGCATATGATGATGAGATGCTTCTAATTGTTTTATGCGAGACGCTATTTCAAAGCACAGTGATAAAAACGAGCTCATACGCATGCAGCGCTATACTGACATGTAATGATACTTGGCATTGTTATCGTGACTACGCCGGGCGAGTGATGCCGGCTGCATTCAAGAAATAATTCACCGGGTCCAAACGTGGACGCTTTTTTTTGTTTTTTTTGAGGGAGGGGCAGGAGCTCATTGCCGAAACAAACCGAGGTCCATCACGGGCAATCCATCCCAAAGCTCTCCACAGGAAGGCAGATCTCATTTTCTCGCACAGTCATCCAGCTCTGGTGTCATAAATAGCAGCAGGGGTTCATCTTTCATAGCCTTTCGCCATAAGCCCCTCACCTTTGTATGACAGGGCGACCCATCGTTGCATACGTCGGCACACACACGGACACGCATGCACTGTTTAGCATAGCGTGTATACACACATACCTGTCTACGTATACTGTACACACAAATATATACGTAGCAAAATCCAATGTTGCTTGATCTTCGTTTTTGCTCTCCACTGTTTCTGGGGTTTGACTTTAAATGAGCAATTTCTGTTTTCTCGAGCCACGCCTTCCCTGCATGAATATATGCCCCCTTTAAAATGTCTTTTTTTTGTCCTGCTGAGAGAGATTATCCAGTGTTTCACTTTGTACCACTTTGAATATGAGCAGTGCACATTCCAACGAAAGCGGGGATGACTCAGTAACAAAAAGACACAAAGAAGTATCATTTTACTCCTCGCGGTGGGGGATAGCAGGGAAATAACGGGACACACGTTCATGCAAATAGCCCCTTACTGACCACAAATTGAATCGGAAGGCCGCCATCTTGATTCAACAGCGCAATGCGGGGTAAGCGGGGGATGATGATGATATGGAGCACGAAGGGGGCCGATTGTTGCCGCATCAAAGTCTAGATCATCTGGCCTGAGCTTGACAGCATCCTCGACTCATTACCAGCCAACAAAACCAAGTGGATCTCATGTAAAAACCAAAAAGAAACTGGCTCGACAAGAGAAGGGAAATGAAAGACCGCGATGGGATGATGGATTGCGGACCTATCGGGCCATGTTTACTGCACGCTCCAAGTTTGCCTGCTTCTGCGGTGGAGATGCGCGGCATGATTGCAAGTGAGAGCGGGCGAAACAATGTCTCGATATCACAGCTATCACGAGCGTGCGGTGAATAGATGGCGGCCGGATGAAAGATGGCGAGAAGGGAGAGGAGGCAGAAATAGGAAGGACACGGCGTTATAATAAGAGTTTCGAAGTGGCTCTTGCAGAAAGTGGTTTATATCCACTCATTTGTAAACACTCTTTCATGTGGAACAAACTGCTTCAAATAATGAGAAAAAGAGAGCGCTGTGCCGGTAACCCGCGGTAAAAGTCGTACCTCAATATCTGGGCCAGAGTTCAGTGTATTTTTGCCAGGTGTTTTGTGCATAACGGCGAGGGTATCAAACTCGCTGAAGGGCGACCGTAGTTGAGGCTCATGACAGATTTCAGTCAATTGAAATTCACAAGTGACGCCAAGTGGAAAGAAAAGCGATCCTGTCACCCAGACCTAGTTGTGGCTTTTTGTTTTCTTTTTTCAAAGCCTCCCATAGGAGAAAATTTGGCGACGAGAAGACCCACTTTCCAGAAAATCAGGAGAGGGAACGTTTTTTTGGGTTAGGCCCGAGGACACACCGACATGTCTTGAATGTGCTCAAGAAATCAGATGTCACGACTCAACTAGACATGCCGAGGCGTTTGTAGGACCGGCTCGCCATTTTTTTTTCATGTTCTGAAGAACCGTTTTGACTGAAGATTGAATTTGTTTTACTTTTTTCTGAATACCCCTTTTGTGGAACACTGAAGTGGACCAGGCACAACCAGACTCCAAACATCAATTGAATTTGAGGCCCCTGACATAAGGAGAACTTTCTCCCCCCCTCAAAATGATCTCTTCATTTTGCCTGTCATCAAAAATCGTATTTTGCAGTTACAGAATAATGTAACTTGCTTCCTGTAACCCTTTTACAATTCTCTTGAATGGGAGGCTCCACTAATCCTTCCTTGGTTTACACGCCTTCATACAATTGTATGCACATTCAGCAACATGTGACTCAAATATACGTGTGGGTGCGTGCGTGCAGGGAGAGTCGATGAAGGGAAACTTTCCACCTGACTGGCTTCAGCATCATCTCAATGAGGAGCCTCTGCTTCCAATTATCCCTTCACTACCCACGGGATGGAGGGAAGACAGACGGACCGGGAAGACACCGGATGATAACGGCGGAGGAAGAAACACCGGCGAGATGGTAATAATGAGGGCTTGCCGCTAGTTGGAGGACAGGAACGGAGACGCTCCAGCCACGAGGAGATGAATCATCAACTGCTTCATTAAGCAGCGCCGCTATTTGGATTCACGCTCGCACACCTTCGCGCACACGCACGGGCCGGCTCGTCTCCGTTTCAGCGTGTTTGTGGCCGAAGGAGGGCATTCATCCTTTGGTGTCGCCCATCGCTCAGCCTGCGCGTGCGCCTTCCTGTCCGTGCGCGTGTGTACGAGCGCGAGCGCGTGCTCTCAGGATGGAAGAGGAACAGAGTGCTGAAACAGCTGATTTCCCGGCAAGGAGAGCGAGGAGAAAAAAAAAACAAAATTGAAAAATAGACCGAGCAGCAGGATTTTGATGGCCAAATGGAAGGGAGGTATTAGCCAATAAATGATCGGTGAGATGAGACACAGCGACATAGAGGGTGGATTTTCGGGGTGGGGGGTTGGGGGGGGGGGTTGTGTGCAGCTATGGATTTTTGGTGCTCTGGGAAAGAACAGTCCATTGTTCCGTTTACAAAACACTCAGTCATTGAGCTTTATATGACCAATAACGAGAGCTCGATAGAAACGTGTTTCTTCCCGGGGGGAAAACGAAATACAGCCGAACCTCGTTTCAACGTACCCCGTTTACGTTTTCACCGCTAACACGTTTCAAAGTCCATTTGCCGATTTTTGTTTACACCTTTGCAAATAAACTTCATGATAACGACCAGATTCTTCTGACAAAATAGCGAGAAGGCCTTCGTGACGACGGTGCGTGGGAAGCTAACTGCCGAGGCGACCTTGCTTATGAACAAAATGGACAGCGTGGGATTCCCCTCTGTTGCTTGGCAATGCTACTGATCGACTCGGTACCTTGTTGTACTTCCTGCCATACCTCACGGCAGGTTTACACTGTATCAAATGTTCATGTTTTTACATCTCTAAATGTTCATACTGCGTTTTACATCGTCGTTGGTGGCCATTTTATTGGAAATGGTTACAACGAACTGCCGTTATAACGTACAGATTCATTCTGTCCCTCAAAGGTACGTTGTCAGCGAGGTTCCATTGTAGCGTATTTGGTAACCTGCTCGCCTCACTTCAAGGGAGTCTCGTGCGGTTTCTCCAAGCACCTGTGTGAAGCTTTCCTCCCTGGGGTGCCTGATGAGTGCGTCGGAACAGCAGGTTGGCAAAATGATAACTGATATGATTTTTTTTGGGCTGGTCTTCACATGCACCAGACCATTCCTGCCGTAGAAAATAGAAATAATCCATATTTACGCGCATCCTTGGTTATTTTTAAAGGTATGACCAAAAAAAAATAAAGCTGCAGTTCAGTTGGAGTGCGTTTGTGTGACTCATCAGAAGCTCCACACTTGACTTTAGCTGTTGGAGGTAC